TCCACATCTTTCCCTGGATTTTTCTGTGTTTCCTCATCCCTTTCCTGATGGAGGGAACACTGCATGGACTCACCAAACTTTAATTCAGTGGCACAACAACCAGAAGAGATCCTTGCCCTCCTGGCACCACAGGGGCCACCCTGGCTGCAGGTGACATCCCCGCCTTGGTGGCTTTTCTTCCATGAGCTCCTTCCACGTCTTTCCCTGGATTTTTCTCTATCTCCTCATCCCTTTCCCGATGGAGAGAACACGGCGTGGACGCGCCAAGCTTTAATTCGGTGGCATAACAAGGTTGGCATAATGGGATGTGACATTTATAATTAAAAAAAAAAAGCAAAAAGGGGGGGATTTTCCTGGTGGGGGCTGACAGGCTCCTTCGGGCACGAAGCCCCAGCTTGATGGTGATCAGAAAAGCAAGGGTCGTCGCCAGCAGGGAGAAGGTCAGCGCGGCGTGGGCGAGCAGGGTGAGATTTGGGATCATCCCATATCCCAGGGTGGGATGACTGGGATTGGGGTGGAAATGAGCTGAAATGCAACCGGGCAGCTGAGCTGGGAAACGCCGGAGTTTGGGAATGCTGGGAGCTCGCCGGGCCCTGCCCTGCTCTCTCCTGGCCGAGATAATTGGAGGGAGAGTTTCTCTTGGACTGGGATTTATGTTTTTTTCCTCACGTGCTTTTCGTTGGAAAACGGGATGAGCCTGGACGTTTCTGGGGGGTGGGGTAGGAGCCATCCTCGCTGGTGGTGGTGGCTTTGATGGAGAGGAGGGAAAACCCAAAACCTGCACCTTCCCTTGCAAAGGAGAGGGACGAACAGATCCGTGTCCAGCTGCAATTAGCATCTCATCCCTTTATTCCACGTTCAACCCTCCTCTTCACCACCATCCCAGGACAGAGGGATGCTCCCAGGGATGCTCCCCTGCTCTCCCAAGAGCCGATTCCCAAATCCTGACCTCATTATAAAGATTATAAAGAAGGAATCTGGGCTCCTGGCTGCGCCGGCTTTGATGCTGCCTTTCCCCCCCCCCGTCCCTGCCCCGTCGAGCCAGCCCTGTTTATTCAGGGATTAACTTCCCCACTTGGCTAATTGTTGGCTAATCACATCAACGGGCTGCCACCCCGTGGGACGTGTCCCCCAAAAACACCCCGATGTGTCCCCTGAGGGTCCCTTTGGGGTGTCCCTCACCCCCGGGGGCTGGGTTGGGGGCACGGTCTCCCGTGAGGAGGAGGAGGAGGAGGCAGGAGGCCAGCCTGGGTCCCATCCATCCCTCATCTGTTTGTCCTGGTCCCCTGCCAGCGATTGTGCCGATTCCCACACCCACTTTTCCATAACCCTCTGTCCTCGCCCGGGGCGAATCGTTGGCGCGTTCGCCACCCCATCCCTCTCCCCTCCTCTCCGATGGGATCAGACACGTTCTGGAGAGAGGGGGGGGGAAGAAAAGAAAAGGAAAAGATGAAAAAAAAAAAAAAAGATCAAGAGGAAAACAAAATATGACTCACCTCCTTCTTAATTTATTTGTATTTATTTATTCCCTACCCTACGTGCAGGAGGCAACACCGAAGGCTGGCTGGGATCTACCGGAGAGCCTGGGTTGTCTGAGGGGTGTCAGGAATTTGTGGGGGGGAAAAATTGATTTTCTCCACTCTTTTCGGACTCTTTTTTTGGGAGCTCCTGGCACAGAAATGGCTTGGCACAGATTTATTCCCCGGGTCTCCCCCGCGAGCGTCCCGTGCCCCCACCCAGCACTCGCCACCGCACAGCACGGACCGGAGGGTGGAAATATCTAATTCCACCTCCCACACTTTGTGTCCTCGGCGGGGGAAAGAGAGAAAGAGAAGATAAAAGGCTGGGAAGCTGAAATGGTGTCATTAGGAACTATTAATGCTCTCATAAAAGGGCATTAATAAAGGCGGCAGCTCATCAGCGTCCATTAGCTCCGCTCGTGGCAGGGATCTTTCGGGGGCCGATGCCCCCCTCGCCCTCGCTGGCATTTCTGCAAAGGGGCAACGGGGCTGGAAGTGTGTGTTGGGGGGGTTTATTCCTCCCTACAGACCCTTCCCCCCACACTAGGACCCCGGGGAGGGAAAGCTGGCAGGAGGAAGCTTCACCCCCCCCCCGACCCCACCATCCTCTCCTGCAGAGAGAGGGGATGCCAATGGAGTTTGCTCCTTTGCTTGCAGGATAGCTGTTTGCTATTTAAAAAGTTTAAAAAAAAAAAATTAGAAGGAAAAAAGAAGAAATAAATAGAAAAAAAAAAAGAAGAAAAAAATAGAAGAAAAAAATAGAAGAAAAAAATAGAAGAAAAAAAATAGAAAAAAAAGAAGAAAAAATAGAAAAAATAGAAAAAAAAAGAAGAAAGAAATAGAAGAAAAAAATAGAAAAAAATAGAAGAAAAAAATAGAAAAAAAAAAGAAGAAAAAAATAGAAAAAAGAAGAAGAAAAAATAGAAGAAAAAAAAGAAGAAAAAATAGAAAAAAAAATAGAGAAAAAAAAAAAGAAGAAAAAAATAGAAGAAAAAAAAAGGCAGGGTTTACAGTGCTCGTCCCTACTTTCTCCCTCCCGCCCTCTTCCTGTTCTCGCCTCTTAAAAGGAGCTTTATCCTTTGACTCTCCCATCCCCGGGGCGAGCCAGAACCCACTGCCTCTCGGGGCGAGCAGGCAACCCACATCAGCAGGCAGGAAAACATGGGAGGAGGCCCGGCCTCTCCCGATATCAGCCCATGGCAAAGCCAGGAATAGCAGCGAGGTCCCCGCACGGGAGCAGCCCTGCCCTGAGCAGGAAAGAAAAAGGAAAAAAAAACCCAAAACCAAAAAAAAAAAACCCTTCACTCCTTGCCTTTGAAGAGCTGGGGTTGGCAACCAGCCCGCCCGCATGGCGAGCCCAAGGTTGGCTATGAGTTTTTCCCTGCCAGCCCGGCCCCGTAGCCAAGGTGGGCACAGCTGGGGAGGAGTGGGCACAGCTGGAGGGGCTGGGCGTGCAGGGGTGGGGAGAGCAGGTGGGCACATCTGGATGGAGGAGGCACAGGCATGGAGAGGGTGTGGGGGGCTGGGAAGGCACATCTGGATGGAGGGGGGATACACGTCTGGGTGAAGAAGGTCTGTGCACCCGGGTGGAGAGGGCACGCACATCTGGATGGAGTGGGCACACAGCTGGATGGGGAGGGTGTGTGGATCTGGAGGGAGTGGGGACACATTTAGGTGGAGTGGGCACGCACATCTGGATGGAGTGGGCACACAGCTGGATGGGGAGGGTGTGTGGATCTGGAGGGAGTGGGGACACACATTTAGGTGGAGTGGGCACGCACATCTGGATGGAGCGGGTCTGGGCATCTGGATGGAGTGGGCACACACATCTGGATGTAGCAGGTCTGAGCATCCGGATGGAGTGGGCACACACATCTGGATGGATTGTGCACACGCGTCTGAATGGAGTGGGCACACACAGCTGGATGGAGTGGGTGCACACAGCTGGATGGAGCGGGCATCCACATCTGGATGGATCGAGTGTGTGCACCTGGATGGAGTGGGGATGCAGTGGGCACACACATCTGGATGGAGCAAGCACGTGCATCTTGGTGGAGTGGTCGCACACACATCTGGATGGAGTGGGCACACACATCTGGGTGGAGTGGGTCTGAGCATCTGGATGGAGCGGTCACACACATCTGGATGGAGCAGGCGTGCACATCTGGGCAGGTTGTGCTCGCCCATGTGGCCAGCCCGGGCAGGGAGAGAGCAGCCAGCACAGCCCCACGGCATCATGTCCCCCCCTGGGGACACCCCAGGGTGCTTCTTCCCCTCCTCCCACATCTCACCACCTTCCCCTCCCTCTGTGAGCCAAAGGCACCCAAACCTGCCCAAAAATCTTAGTCATCACCTCTCTGTCATGGGGATATTTTCACTCCGGCTGCCAAGGTGACAAGCCAGCCCCCGGGGAGCCACTAGCCAGGGACCTGAGTGGCTCCTTGGCTTCCAGGTGACCTTCCTTGGCTTCCAGGTGACCTTCCTTGGCCACCAACAAGCTGTCACCAGCCGTGACTCAGTGCGAAGCAGGTTTCTTTTGGGGAGAAAACAAAGCTTTGATCCCAGAGAGCTGGGAGAACCGACCACGTTCCCTGTGTGCACTTTTCCTTGCAATCATCTGATGCATCTCTTTTTGGGGTTGGGTTTTTTTTGAGGGGGTTGGGTTTTTTTTGAGGGGTTGGGGCTTTTTTTGTTGGGTTTTTTTTTTTTTTTCGGGGTAATAAGTCCCAGGGCAGGTTAGGACGGAGGAGCCCTGGCAGTGGTGTGTGTGTGGGCAGGACTGGAATAACGGGTGCTGTAGGAGAGGCTTGAGGAGCACTGGCAGCACCGGTGGGGGCCGGGAAGAGCACGGCAGGTCATGGTTGAAGGTGGTTTGTGTGGGGCCAAGATGGGTCCAAAGCTCCCACTGCCCTCCCTTTGCCATTAAACCATCCTGGGGGGATGCTCGGTGGTCCAGGAAAAGCCTCCCTCCTCCAGGGAAGCTTCCATGGGATGGAGATCCAAGTTTGTGAGGTGGTGGGGGTGGCAGAAGGACCATGATGGGACAAAGCTTCACCCCTGGGAAACATCGGTGGAAATCACTGTGGTTCCTCCACTGTCAGACCCTTCCCACCCTACAAGGTTCACCCTTCCCCAGTGTTCCCAGTGGCACCGAGGCTTTTAACCGGGCTTTTGTGGCTTTCCCAGCCTGGCTGACCAGTCTGGATCACTGGTGGCCCCCGTGGGCAGGTGACATTCTGGTGCCAGCACCACCTCTGTGCCAGGACACCCCAGCAGCCCAAGAAAGCCCCCCAGCAAACTCCTCACACCCTGGCCCAGCGATGCCCCCCCTTTGCAAGGAAAACCCCCAAAATGTTGGAAAATAAATCCCCAGGGAGAATCAGGTGCAGCTGGGGGGGGGCAGGAGGGGTCTGTCCCCCCCACATCTTTCTCCTGGTGATTTTGGTAGCACCTCACCCCCCCCTCTCCTTGTCCTTCCAGGGTGCAGATCTGAGGACTGGGGACATCAAAGGGCGCGTATTGACGGGTGAGTGCAGACCCCGATGCTGGGGGCCACGAGGGGGGTCCCACACCCCCAGCTGGGAGCTGGGATGAGGTGGTGGCAGAGCTGGCTGTCCCCAGAGGGGACAAGGACACCAGGATGCCATGGGGGGGGGGGACACGAGGGGTTCCCCTGGGCACTCTCTGAAGCAGGAGCCACTTTTTCTCTTCTTTTTCTAGAGGCAAAAGTGGTTTAAAAAAAAAACTCTGCAGTTGGAAGAGCCCCAAACCAGTGTGAAAAGGCTCTGGGGGGAGCTGGGGGGGGGAACACAATTAAAAAAAAAAAACAAACCCAAGATAAAAGCGGGTGAATCCCAACAATTTCTGTGATGTTGCACGAACAAAAGACTTTCAGCTCCAAACAAGCCAGGGGGGGCTCGTGGGGCTGACACCCCCAAGGGAGTGGGGCAGGGGCTCCCCCCCCCCCCC